TTGAATAACGACTGAGTGGTAAGATTTTAGGATGTACGCGTCACTCTGTAAAGCGAAGCAACGCTAAACCGGAGCACTCGTGGGATCAACCAAAATTTCAATAGAACCAATGCGATGATTGGCCTTGATGATTTACACATTGCGCTGTCTGTAATTTGTCCAATATCTGAAATTCTTTATTCTAAGCTTGCATGGACCAACAGAGTTCAGTGGAATCGCGTTTGGTCGTTTCGTTTGACCACTCGACCGCACTTGTTGTAGATAGTTTTGTAATTGTTTGTTGATTTGTATATCCTGTAATCTGAGTAGATACGTTTGTATCAGGTCGCCAAGGATTCTGGAAACAATCACACTACCTGGCGAAGGTTGACTGGTTCTAAGAAAGAATTGTTGATAACAATTGCATATTTAAATATGGGTATTTTATAAATATTTTGTATTGTTTGAACGATCTGATGTATTGTTGATTAAAACCCCCCTAAGGTTCAGTACTAGTCTCAGTTCGGAAAGAACATAAGGCTAGGTGTCCGATGATAATCCTGGCAATGGTGATCTCCCAATTGGTTCAACTTTCTTTTGAAAGCTTCAAAAGATGGAGCTTCAATCGCGTGTTAAGTTAATGGATTTCACTCGTTGATAATTCGATGGGAAAGTAGATATTCAGCTGATTAGTAACTCGTTCTGGGCTTGTAAACATTTTTGGAGTGTCCTCATAAATGCTCTGTTTTGAAAGATTGGAAAATTGAGGGCATATCAAATGTAAAGTTGTCACCAAATAATGTAAAAACTGTGATCAAGTCGCCTCTGGTTCATATACATGATAACGTAAATAAGTTTAATTTAGCCAGCCGACCATCATACTGGAGTTTCGCTGGACCGGGATCAGCTTACATGAAGTCCTCTAAGATTAAACATCAACCATTTTGTGACTAAGCGTTGGAACCATCTAGCAAGAACTCATTCACCTCACAATCTGGACTGCGGAAGGCCTAACCGATCATCAGCTCTTTTCCTTTCCATTTCAAGCGGAAACTAACTAAATCACACGTCCCACTTAATTGGGATGTGTTATAATTAGCGGTGAATGAGGTAGTTTTTCTTTTGATTATAGCTACTCATCCCTTATGCTTCTGAATTCTCGCGGCTTTTACTTATTTGAAACCTCCGAAATCAAGTTCTCTACTGTCTAATGACTGTATCAGCTAAGTTTTCGTGACTGCGACTACATTCGGGTTGCTAAAGTACATTTGTACGCCTAGTTTCGATTGCTTGCTGAGCAAAATCCACAGATTTGTGTGTTAGATCCAAGGATCAACTAAATGACTTTGTGCTGCACGCAAAGTGACTTCGACAACACTCTCTTCCAGAGCCTCACCATCAGAAAATTTATAATTTTTGGGTCCTTCTCGCCAGCATCCAAGTTTAGTTTGGGTTGGTTTTAAGCTCCTAGTCTTTTTGTACGACCCACGGATGATAAGTCTTTACACACGAATGCACTAAATCTGAAGCTACTCATGCCTTTCTACAGGGACGGAAGCCAGTGCTCCCATCCAGAAGATTTATAGCTTATGAGCTCCTCCCAGTAGTTGAGCAAGAACTGGATTGACTCCTAAATTCGGGTGTTATCAAACCAGTTAAGTTGTATTAACATTGGTTGCTAACCACAAGATCTTTGAAGCCGAAGACATGTACACTCAACATGTAACACCAAGAGGTCAAAAATGACGAACGCGGGAGTGTAGAGTCGAAATAGAATGGCTTGGATGGGCAGACGTATTCACTGTGTAGTTCATATTAAATACATTATTTTACCCCAGCACAAACATGTTCTTCGTAAGTCCCAACCATCATTGTGCTGTGTTTCTACTGAACGAGTGGGTAAAGACAGTGATGTGACTTCCATACAAGATCTCATAGATTAGATAGTCATATCATAACAAATCTACGTTTTTGGGATAAGGACCACTTTTTCAGTAGCCAAGATAAGTGTACTAATATCGAACTAGGCGATAATCTTTCAAAATTTCAGAATAGGCTGCAACGACAGTGATAGTTAATAAACATCACTGGCTTTCGTTTGCATTGAATTAGATGCCATAACACTGGTTAGCCATCCTTTTTTGATTATACGAAAAGTACTGTCCTAGCAACCATAGTTATTGATTCCTGGTTTTACTCGGTTTGAATAGGGTGGATCAACATCGCCTAGGCATCATAAGACCATACTGAACGGTGAATTTTTTAATTAATTTAACTGCTATATTGCAGCGTTTACAAAGCTGTTGTAAACCAGACCTGTTGTTTTACTAGCATCATGTCAAACACACCATTTGTTTACAGCTTGGTATTGCACAAAATAATATATTTTTGTGAATGAAAATAAACTGAAGTCAATTAATTCTGGCCTGCATTAATTCGGTGCGGTACAATTTTTGTGAACATTATGTTTTGTTTTGTCGTTTTTATACCGAAATTCACCTTTACTTTCGAGGATACTTATCTACATGACAGCCAACAATGATATATCGATCTTATTTAGTAAATGGATTATTAACATTGTTAGTGTTTCGGTCCTTTCATTCAGGTGATGATCCTCTGTTGCAGCTCTTAGGTCTAAGATGCTTTCTCATTGATCATTTCATGTTTAAAGACTTAAGTTACTTTCAGGCCGCATCTGTCTTTATAAAAGACATAAAAAACACGAGTTTGGAGTCCTCCATTTAAGCTGTATTCTGATATTCCTAACGAATTATCGGGGATGAAGTACTAATAGAAGACGCTTTCCGTCTTTAACAAACAAGTTTCGCACCCTGTATGTATGATAACATGAATCGATAACATCAACAGTTAAATTACTTGTAACCACACATATTGCTACCTGGGGTTCTGATTTGTTTTTTGAGAACACAAAAGTGTGCACTGCCTAGCGAGTTAGCTGATTTATTATTCAATACCATGGGAAAAAAACATGAAAATAAAGATGGTAAGTGATAACTTTTAAATCTGTACAAAACTTGATAAATATTGCTCAACGTCTAATAAAGGAATCCATACCTAAGACTTAACATTGTCCTATATATACATATATATAGATTGCTTAAAGTGAACTTAAAGTGAACTAGAAATCCCCTATTCATTGTTTCAAATAAATCTGAGTTTCTACTCTTTCAACTAAATTATAATACAAATATGCAAAGTTTCATATAAGAACTGATATTACATCCTTTCTTTTAAGTGTAATATTTAAAGTTGTAAGTATTTATTTAAACTGAATTACATTTGTAATTTGGTTTACATAATATTGTTTTAGTCATCTATTTTTGGTTTAACTTACAATTGAGGAATTGTGGGCTTTGTTCAGTAATGAAATATACTGGAATATAATTGGTAATGAGATTGTAGATGTCAAGTCTGTTTTACATTCTCTGTCCTTATTCATTTCCTTTCGACTCTTTTCAGTATTGTTTTATATTATTTATTAATATTCAGTAAGTAGTTGTAACCCTAGCAACGGAAGTTTGTCGTGTAATATTCTGAAGTAGTTACATATGCTTATAACACTTATTATATTTATCATTATTATCGCTTTATCTTAATCATGGTAGCAGTTGTTGACAATTTTATGCAGTCGTTTGATCCTTGTTTAAACGTAACATTTTTCATATTGCTTGCTTTTAGTTTGATTTTTGCTTGTTGATAAACCGTTAAACAGTTTAGGCACAAAGAACGGTTGTCAATTTCCACTATCGGAGCCTTTTTTTATTTCACACAAAAAGAAGCGGTAAACGCCATAGATACCTCACAAGTTGAGATTTGTAACTAGTTTTTTGTATATTATTCAATAAAGACAAATTGTTGCCTTGTTAACATTCAGTAAGCACAAATCTCAATTAGGTGATTTAAACACTTCGATAAATGTAACAGCAGATAACAGTCCAATAACATAATGACTTACAATTTTATGTGTTTTACTTAATCAAACTAACTGATAAAGATATTGAAAGATATATGATTAAAACAAGATAGTAGTAAATCGAGGCATATATCTAATTTTAGTGCATTTTAGTATCCATTTTCAACCATCACTGATTGAAGGCCTGTATACTCCATGGTGACGAAACCCGGGTCAGTCAGTGAGGTACAACGTAGGACCAGGCACATATATGCATCGGTCCAAGTTGCCATACCTCATTAACACAGCAACATGAACACCGGATTCATAAAAGTAGTTAATTCAATGGTGGTAATATATAAAAGAATGATTGCATATAAGAATATGATACATGAAGAAAGAATTAGTTGGTAGAAAGAAAGATATGAAGCGATTTCAGTCTTTTAGTTTAAGGTGTGTCAGAGAGTGTATACACCGACGCCGTTGTGATCGATTCTGAGCCATGTCACCAAGAGCCTCCAACAATTGGTTACGATAGTCATGTGGACCCTAACCAAGAAGTCTGCATCTACCAACATGGTTCAGACTAGAAGTTAGTGACTTCAGTGACTGATGCCACATTTTGGTTTGGCAGCCCTTAACTTTCTTCTAACCATCTCCAACACCGGTTAGCATTGCACGTCGTGGTAATCGGTGTTCAAGCATACGTGACCGGGGTCAACAGGCCATAAGTAAGTCAATAAGTAAACAAAACTTAATCTTCTTTTTTTTAAAAAAAACAACACTTCAATGTTATTTTAGAATATACATAAATATAACGAAAGAGAAAACAAACAAACAAAGTGATTAGAAAAATAACTGAATTGTAACAAATTATCCCCAGTACAACTTTCAACTATACACAAATTGGGGAGAAAAGTGTGTGTGTGTACAAATGATTTGTTCATTAAGAAATTAAGGCAAACTATTCAATTGATAGGAAGACAGGGGAATATATATATATATATATATATATATATATATATATATATATATATATATATATATATAAGCACAAAAGTAGTTTGTAATGTAAACGTAGGGTATAAGCAACAAGAAAATCTGTATTTCATTGTAATCTATTGTGTTGAATTGTTGAAGTTGTTGATGGTAAAAGAAAAATCCCTGAATTGATAAAATCATAATTTAAGAAATTTGAAGTGTTTATTAAATGATTAGAATTTAGTATATTAGTTGTATGAATAGGCACTATTGGTGATGATAATGATGATGATGATGAAGTTATGCAATTGAGATTGTTTGTATTAGTTGATGGTATTAAACAAGCTGCACCTATTATATATTTTTGTGATCTTAAACTACCATTTGGACAATAATGTACTGCAGTTTGAGCATCGAATGGATTATTAAAATTTGCTAAAAAATTCGCTGTTCCATTTGTATGATATTGAAATGGTATAAAGTATGGTTGAGCCTTGATAAATTGAAATGAAATGTTTTTTGTTTTGTTAATGTAAAATCTAATACGAATTAATACTGATCAGATTTATGTAAATAGAATAACTTTATTTTTTGATTGACATCATGAAACGATTAAACTTAGATCACCATGGAAAACTTGGATGCACTGGATGGCCGTTTCATTCTATTGTAGGACTCCTCAGCAGTGCACATTCACGATCCCGCTCGTGGGATTCGAACCCAAAGTTTTCAGTCTCGCCTGTGAATGCTTAATCTCTAGACCATTTAATTGGTTGACATCTAACGGTGTTAATGTCTAATCTCAACGAATCCACGAAATCGCGCTACAATCGTCCCACAATAGGAAGAAACGGACGTCCAGTGCTTCCAGGTTTTCGATGGTGGTTTAACATCAATTGGCTCATGATCTTAATCAAAAACTTAGTAATCTCCACAACCCTCATAATGATATTAACTTTATTCTCTACTATTAGAGAAGCCGTTTATAACTTCAACTAATGGAGTGCTTTATTCAAACATCTATCATTTTTCTCATCTTTGTATATTCAGTTAGTAAATACTGAATTTGCTAATGACATTTCCTCATTTCGATGGAGTTTTGTTCTTTGAGCTGGATGGTTTGATCTTGGAGCTTTCATCGGTTCTTCTGAATGACATCACCAGCATAAACTTCAACTAGAAGTGAACGGTTCGAATTTATCTGCATGTAGTTCACAGCGGTGAGACAAATTTATGGACGAACCAATCAGGTATATGAGAATAAATCTCCGGTTTTGGTGAGAAATCCACTCATCCATTCAGCTAAATAGAGTTTTGATATCACAATTGATTGATCACTGGGTGGTGACTAATGTCATGTGTCAAGTCCTAATTTAGTGCAGATCGGATGCCATCGACCAAGTTGCAATGTGGCCACTAGTCTAGGTGACTCGACATTGTTTGCACTACGTTGAGATTAGATGGTGGTTGGAGGTAGTCAACAGGAAACCCTGGACCCGGGCTTCGTGCTACTTGGCACTCGTCAGCAAGATGTACCTATAATCTTGAGGAAATCGGTGCTCCCTGACGGATTGGATCCCGTGTCACCCAGCTTCACAGCCCGAGACGTTATCACTAGGCTATCCAAGCTATTCCGATATTGCAGTTGATGTCAGTTCGTGGTGAGAACCTTAAATCTAATTCCTAACCCTAACCATCAACTGTAAATCATAATTCGAATTCCTCAAATTAATATATAACCCTCATTTGATCATAGTTATTAGGTGGACACTCTAAAGGTCACAGTGGCGTCGCTCAAAGGTCGTCCATAAATTATAGTCTCACCTTCGTAACTTGTCTTGCAGATCTCGATGCTGATTGGTTGACCTTAAAGCTGTAATCGTTTACTTCATTTTTTGGAAGTAAACAATGATAAGTTTAAGGCCAATCAATCAACATGGAGATCTACAAGACAAGCTGTGAAGCACATGTGGAAAAATTCGAACACTTCATTTCTACCTGAAGTTTGTGCGGATGATGATGTCGTTTAGATGAACAATGAAAGTGCCACGACTAAATCATTCAACTCAAAGAACAAAACTCCATCAAAATCATCTACCTGAGCTACAAATGTTCTCCATCATCTCAAAATCTCCTCACTCGGAGTTTAAGGGCTATTCAACTATTTGAGTGTATATTACCATTTTTTTAATGTTTGTTTCTTCAATTACTGCTGATAGAGTGATTGATTAGTCAGTGATTTGATGAGAACTGTTACAAAACACTAAGGCAGTATTGTCAAAGGTGACTTATTGTTGGAGACGATAGATCCCCAAAACTCAAATTTTGTAATTTACTTATCGATTAAATGTGCAGATAAGTCAATTGATGAACTATCGATTAAATGTACAAATAGGTCAATTGATGAACTATCGATTAAAGGTTCAAATAGCAGTCAATTTTTGATTAATGTTCAAAAATCTTCTATGACAATATCGATTGTAAATAATTGTATAAATACGCTTGACTTGTATGCTTGATCTGATCTGCCTGCCTGACTTGTTATCTGCTGTTGTCTGTAGAATACACTTTCTACACCTTACCCAGACTTTTTGATCGAGTCAGCAGAGTTGGGGACAACGGACCAGAATAGACTATCGAGATTCTGAATCCTTGATTCGATCGATAAGTCACTGTCATATAATCGGCTGTCTCTTTGAGCCATAACACTTATATGACTAAAGTATTTCCTTTTTAAGTAGAGCTTATCCATACAAAACTCACATTAAATAACAGTTATTTTCAGTATTAAAAAACAGTTTGTGTTTATATTTTTCTATATATATATAAACGGTGATTGAACTAATAGTATGATAAGCAAACTTATCAAAGAGAGATGAGTGATCAGTGAAAAATGTGATCCGATGAATCTGTCCTCTCAATTTTCTTTTTTGGCAGACTACAGATATAGAAAGCAGATACTCCTACGACTGTGTCACAATCAGGGACTTCGAAAAACGTGCGTTTCGTCCTGTATGGGACTCCTCAGTTGGATGTACCTGTTTCAACTCTGGAATGTAGGTATATCTAGTTGACGAGTTCCAAATAGGACGAAACGCACGTCCTGGATTCAATGGCTAACCACCATCCATTTTTGCTTATAAAATTTGTGACTTATGGCGATCCGCATAGAATGCATATATGTCAACATGAGACTGATCAACTGTAGTCCTAAAACCCAACAATAGAAAGATACAAGCAAACAATACCGATGTGAATTTCTCAGTGATATGAAAACTAATCAATAGTGACAACTACTTTATAACTTCATAATATAAAAGAATTGTATGCTATTTAACACATTGCGTTCAATATTCCACCTTCAATAGACATATTTCATAATTACATACTAAGTCATATCGTGTTGATTCAGTTTTTGTTAGATATTAGAGTATCTTAACCTTCACTGGTATTGTAGACAAATGATTTTTAATACATAAATTCTATGAAATTCGATATGACCTTCATAAAGGTACATACTATGTAAATTGAATTATCCAGGAGAACTTATACTTTCTAATAAAAAAAACTCATGATCTTAACCATTGAAATTACTACAATCTCCACAAAAACCCATCTGATATTATTCAACATATGCTCACTAGCGACTGGCTTCAAGAGATATTTCATGAAGTTCTAATGAGGAGCAGTGATCAGTGGAGTTCAACAAAGTCTGTTGTGAGATAATAACTCACTGATGACAATGGTGGATGTGTCGCTCATTTTCGTAGATTAGTTGAAGTTAGATATTGAAATCGTCGGATGCCAACTCAGTGGTGTAGAGGTTAAGTGCTCGCGCGTGAAGCCAGTAGGTTCTGGGTTCGAATCTCGCAGGGGGCGAGGTCGCGGATGCGCACTGATGAGGAGTCCCACACTGGGACGAAACAGTCGTCCAGTGCTTCCAGGTTTTCCATGGTGGTCTAGCTTGAACTGATTCATGATCTTAACCATTGAAAAAAGACACTCAATAATAAATTTACAGTAAACATAAAGGTAAAGTCAATTCACAGGAACTAACCGTCAATAGATTTTTAACAGGTTTAAATAATGATTCAAGTTCTTCTTGTGTTACATCAATTGGTAAACCTGTTAACATAACCATTGATGCTGTAAGATTTGGCAAATTATATCTTGATTGAGTATTTAAATGAGATAAAGTTTTATAATCTAATAAAACATTTGAATGATCTACATTGTTAGATAATACGGAATTGGATGAAGGAATCAATAAACTTTGATAATCATGGTTGGTAACTATTGTTGGAGAAAGATTAAGACTAGAGATTGAATGAATATAATTATCTATATTGTAATTTTTTATGAATGAAGATGTATATTTGATAGGTAAATTTGTATCTGATAATTGAATTGGTGAAGTGATTGCTAAAATGAAATCAGATAAAAATAAATGATACTTCAGCTTTGATAATAATAATGATAATAATAATCACCTTCTCACTAGTGACTGACTTCAGGAGACATTCCTGGAGTTCTAGTGAGAAGTCGTTACCAAAGGAGTTCAACCAGGTCTGTTGTGAGATATCAGCTCACTGGAGACAATGGTGTACGGTGGCACAACTTCGTGGATTGGTTGAAGTTAGACATTAACACTGTTGGATGCCGGTTCAGTGGTCTAGTTGGTTAAGCGCCTGGCGCGAAACTGATAGGTCCTGGGTTCAGATCTCGCGAGGGGTGGGATCCTGGATGCGCACTGCTGAGGAGTCCCATACTAGGACGAAACGGCCGTCCAGTGCTTCCAGGTTTGCCATGGTGGTCTAGCTTCAATTGACTCATAATTATTTAGTAATTGAATTCATGAATGAATTGAAGTTCTAGATTATTATAGAAAACCTGAAAAGATCTGTTGATTGTTTCGTCTTATTATGGGATTCCTCAACAGTGTATATCCATGATCCCTCTTTTCATGGGATTTGAACACAGGACCTATTGGTTTATCATGCGAACGCTTAACCTATAGACAATTAAGCGGGCATCTAATAGTGTTAACGTCTAATCCCAACTGTCCAGTGTTATGACTTTATGTCCGGCGTTTTATCACGTGATTTATCCCCCAATCAAAATACGAATTATGCAATCTCAGCACTGTGCCAAACCAATGACGTTCGACCGGTATGGGCAGCCTAGCGTCTTTATTGGTCCTATATCCGCCTAGCCCGTCCACTTCAGTCCAGAACACCAATACCAGCTTCCAATATGCGAATCGAATCGAATCATTTATTTCAGACATACTGGGTTTATGTATAAACCAAACAGACCACAACGCACCATAAAATAGGAAATAACATTCATACACAAACAAGCCAAAAAGTGGCTGCGAACGTGGGAGGCAGTAGTCAATAAACTGAACCTAGTTTAAGAATCGTAAATCGTACAATAATAAATTATAGGTCAAAATAAGGCTTGTAATAAGAGGAATATAAATATACATAATCTAGTTACCAAATATCCATACCGTACATTCGATTGTCCCGATTTCGTGTCCTCGTTCACTAAATATGTACTCGCTAGATCAGTAACTAATGCCTTGAAGGTATCGTTTATATAAAATACCCTTGTGGGTCAGGGTAATTTTACATTGGTTTTCAGGAGAACCAGACACCAAACCATACAGACTTTCACGTGACAACCCGAACAGTACAGCTCAATCCCGCTTCACAGGAGAACCAGACACAATATTGGCTTCAAGGCTACAATCTGAATAGTACAGTTCAATCCTGTCGCACAACCGCACAGGTAACAAGCACCCTGATGGAACATTCGCAACATTCTTATATACATTCACATCACATGTATAGTTATTACGATCAATGATCGCATGAATCAATTATGCACAGCACGAACAGGCCAAAGTTCACCTATTCCGCTCACACGACAGTCAAACTCATTGATGTTAGCAATAGCGACATAGCTTACAATGTCCCAATCACAATGGTCCTTGCAAACACTGAAAAGCAACCACCAGTGTGAATGAAATCTGTTAACCAGCAAACCAATTTTGTGCATGAACAATCAGCAAAACTTGTCAAAGCAATACCGAACCATCCACAATATCAATGGATAGTCTCCAGTCTCATATGAGACCTTTAGCTCTACATAACCATATAGCTTATACTGCATACAACACTTATATAGGGTAGTAAACGAAATAGCCCAGCCTGAAGCGTTAGGCCTTAAATAACGCTTAAAACCAATTGTCTGGTGTTGGAATACTATTACCAGACCACCAAGATCATTTTTATCGCATTGGCGAAATTTTCATTTTTCCGACTTTTCAGACCCTGAGTTAGGGGTAGCATCCCTAATACCTTGGAGTATGGAGCTAAATATACTAGATTCAAGTCTCACTGTGAGATCCAGGTCCTGAATATTAACAACTGTAAAACTTAAACCCTTCTTTCTATAAATCGATGATATTTCTCTTTCATAAATATGACTTTAAGACAAAAATAACTTGAGTCAGTTGAAGCTAGACCACCATTGAAAACCTGGAAGCACTGGACGGCCGTCTCATCCTAATATGGGACTCCTCAGGAGTGCGCATCCACGATCCCGCTCCCCGTGAGATTCAAACACAGGACCTACTGGCTTCGCGCGCGAGGACTTAACCACTAGACCACTGAGCCGGCGTCCAACGGTGTTAATGTCTAACTTCAACCAATCCACGAAGTTGCGCCACCGTACACCATTGTCTTCAGTGAGTTGTTATCTCACAACAGACCGGTTGAACTCCACTGGTAACGGCTTCTCACTAGAACTCCAGGAGTTTTTCCTGAAGTCAGTCACTAGTGAGCAGTTGATTATTATCAGAATGGGTTTTGTGGAGAGTTTTAGAAATTTCACAGGTGGTGCGGGATCTTGGATGCGCACTGCTGAGGAGTCCCATACCAGGACGAAACGGCCGTCCAGTGCTTCCAGGTTTTCAATGGTGGTCTAGCTTCAACTGACTCATGATTTCAACCTGTGAAATTTCTAAAACTCTCCACAAAACCCATTCTGACAAAAATAACTGTATAGATCTATCTTTTGCTTCCACTCATTAAATAACCTTCTCATAAGCAAACCAATACACGTATTAGGGTATACATATATACTAAAGAATGTTATTGTAGTGAGCACAAACACGAGTGGAGACAATCGAATTTATTTAAACATAAAATTACAGCACATCTTATTGAAATCTGAGAACCATACAGCAAATACTTGATTTGCAAAATATCAACCCATTGTCTCAAATTTGACTATTCCTTTTGTAAATATAAGTCCATCGTCTCAGATTTTATTTTTCCTGTATTTTCATATCAATTGCTTTCCATTCCCGCTTTTTATTACTTTTTAGTCTTTTACTAAAATACATTCTATTTCTGATTATCATAATATACTACTGATAACAACAGATATAAGTAGTTTACATCACAATATCCCGACCGTAGCTTCTACCTTGACGCGGTGGTCGGGCTTGCCTATCGTGATGATCCAACAGAGCTATATTGGCTGGAACATATGTCCCTGTAGGTTCTACCATGCCAGGCAGGTCGATTGGAGAACGGTAAGACCAAAAACAGCAACTCAAGGTCTGACGGCGAAGTCGTACTGCTGGCTGTAGACAACCAGCATCTGCAGCTATGCTACCTTCTCAAAAGAAATGGAGGGATTAGAAGAGGTCGACCCTTAAAATGCCACACCTCACCTTACCTCACGGATTTCCGTCTCCGCCACTGAGGCTCTTTAAAGAACGGAGCTAACACGTCAAACCCCCCTCCCACAAAAAGACCGTGCACGACCGGCCTCAAGCAGTTGTCCCTTGAGCTCTGCGGTCACGTTCCCAGGTCGTTAAGATCAACATTAATCCAACTTTTGTTTCAGGTTCCTCAAGAAATACCCTTCCACGATGTGGGCAGCCGGGAAGTGACATCAGCCCTCATACTCGTAACAGCACACGAGACTGATTGACTGACATCACAATATATATATATATATCGCAATGCTTATTCAACTATGTCATTTCTCAATAACTTACCATTGAATATATGTTGATCATTCATTTTTGTTTTAATCGGATATTTTATTGTTGATCTTGACCAATTGTAATTGGAATGATTTGATCTATTCCATTTTAATAATGATGCCATATGGATTCTATGTATTGGTATATTATATGTTATATTTGATAAATCAATAATTGATAATTTACCATTATTATCAATATTATATAATGCAAATGTTGGAATATTGGATAATACTTTAAATTGTTGATTACTTCTATATAATGTAGTAATAGTAAATGGTCTACTAATTAAATCATGAATAAATTGAATAGCTTCAGTTATATTCTTTAATGATAATAACCATGATGATGTATGATTATTGTCGTTAGTGTTGGTGGTGGTGGTGGTGTTGTTAGTGTTGGTGGTGGTGTTTGAAATAGTTTCCTTGAAAAATCAAAAAAAATAAAAAAGAATTATCCATACTGTGACTGTTAGTTTCTCAAAACATTGAATATTCTGTTATCAATGTTAGAAACTATTGACCGTTGTTTTTGTTGCTACCTTGATGTAGTGGTCGGGTGTTAGTCAGTCAGTCAGTAACAACGTAGAACTTCGTACGTACGTACATTAAGTCGAGTTGCTATACCATATTAGCACAGAGATACAGTTGTCGATTCAAATTCCGCAGTGGTAGAGGTAGTAAGAGTTTGAGCAGCAATCGGAAAGATTAGAGTTTGAAGACGTTATTCAAAAAATATAATCCAGTGGAATCAATTTGGAAAGAGAAAAAAAGAACGGACATGAAGAATTCGGGAGATTAGAATTTGAGGGAACATAAAGGAGTGGATGCACCTGCGCCATCGCAAACGATTTTGAGCCATGTCGTTCAAGGCCTGTAACCACCGGTTGCTATCATCTCTCGGTCGGGTATGCCTATCGTGATGAAATAATAGAGCTATATTGAGTGAAATATTCGTTTCTCAAAGTCCTACCATATCAGACAGGTCAGTTGAAGAGCGGTAAGACTAAGAACGTAGCAAACTCAACGTTCGAAGGCGAAGTTGTACTGGTAACTGTAGAGAAGTGTGATAGCAGTTAGGTGTTTCCTTCAAACAATCGGTATAACACCGATGCTGCCTTCTCACAAGGAGAGGGGGTTAAAAATGTCGACCATAAAAATGCATATCTCGCCTTATCCTACGGATTGCCGTCTTCCGCGATAAGGTTACAATAAGTACGGAGCTAATACGAAAACTACTCAAAAAATGGTTGTGTGTGATCGACCTTAAGCAACTGTCCCTTGGGCAGTGAAGCAACCTGAACCAATGCATATGTGTGCCTGATCCTGTATAATAGCTGACTGACTGACGGAAACTATTTTCAAAACGCTGGATTCTTAAATCATAGAAAGTTGTTTTAACGCTATTGTCAATAATCAACAATATGCACTTCATGAATAATGGGCACTGCATCATTTTTTCGTATTTACTGTAGTAATTTCTTTAGTTCTATTCTATTTCAATGAGCAAACACTGTTATAATAAGTACATCGGTTAAGTTGAGGATCCCTATGCACTTGACTGAGTTTGTCCACTTTTATTTTAAATACTACACAGGTTGGATAATGGCTAACAGTGGAATCTAAGACGCGCGTTTCATCTTATTTGCGGCTCGTCAGCTAGATATACCTGCATCCCAGAGTTGATATTCATTGAGTTCAAGTCCCAGAGTGAACATCAACTCTGAGATGCAGGTACATCCAACTGACGAGTCCTAAATAAGACAAAATGTGCTTCCTGGATTCCATTGCTAGCCACCATACATCTTTACTTCAATATGCACAAAAGGAAAAGCAAGATTCTCCGATACAACACAGCATGCACCAATCCAATCACAATTGACGGAGAAAATTTGGAAGATGTAAAAACCTTTACATATCTGGGCAGCATCATTGATGAACATGATGGATCTGATCCAGATGTGAAGGCGCGGATCGGCAAAGCAAGAGCAGCATATTCACAACTGAGGAACATCTGGAACTCAAAGCAACTGTCAACCAACACGAAGGTCAGGATTTTCAACACAAATGTCAAGACAGTTCTACTGTATGAGGTGGAAACCTGGAGAACTACGAAAGCCATCATCCAGAAAATACAGGTGTTTATTAACAGTTGTCTACGCAAAATACTTCGGATCCGTTGGCCAGACACTATTAGTAACAACCTACTGTGGGAGAGAACATACCAGATCCCAGAGGAGGAAGAAATCAGGAAGAAGCGCTGGGAGTGGATAGGACACACATTGAGGAAAGCACCCAACTGCGTCACAAGACAAGCTCTCACATGGAATCCTCAAGGCCAAAGGAGAAGAGGAAGATCAAAGAACACATTACGCCGGGAAATGGAGATAGACATGAGAAAAATGAACAAGAATTGAATGGAACTAGAAAAGAAGGCCCAGGATAGAGTGAATGGGTTGGAGAATGCTGGTCGGCGACCTATGCTCCATTAGGAGTAACAGGCGTAAGTAAGTAAAGTAATACATCTTTACTTAGGGGGCTTGTAACTTTAGGCAATATCGAGGCAATCTATACAGGATGCAGATTTGCTAATAAGACACTGATTCTATACATCAATGGAAGGATTCATACAAACAATACAAAATGAATTTGGACTATCCTGACGTTTGAGACAATTGATTGACATCTTACAAATGAAGTCTTTACTGTATAGTTCTCAGATTTTACCAAGAGATTATGTAATTTGTACGTTCAAATACATTCGATTGTTCCCACTTAAGTTCTTATTCACTACAATATCATTTCAATTGTAAATAATAAAAAAGACAACATCATTATTACTTTCCTTTACTGACTCTTAATATTAGATGTATCTTCAGTTTATGTTGTTTAAAATACCAAAGTCTGGACTAAAAACGTTAGGTACTATTGATACCACAAGCCATTTCAAGTTAGACATCTATTGAAAACCAGTTCAAACGTTTTGGATGTAACGAATACACATGCTGAAGACAATGAAAGATGGTCATTCAATGTAGCCAATTAACTAGAGTTAAACACTCATATTGTTAGATTTCTGCTCACTGGTTTAAAGATAGAGTACTCACATACAAAATTGAAGGTCCAGAGTTCGATCCCTCCTGAATACTTGTGTACACACTGTCAAGGAGTTCCATGCTAGGACAAAACGTCCGTTGAATACTTCCTGAATGTTAATGTATGTCTAACTTGATCTATGATGTCAATAACATTTGTTCGTTTCCGTAAACCTCTATTCTGATGGCTTTAGGTACATTATTTAAACTAAGGATCATAATAAACTTAATGACAATTTAGATGGAACTAAAATGAGTGAACTGTTCATTTGATTGTACTATCAGGGATATTGAATACAAATGGGTTTCGTTCATCTAGATTCATGAGATAAACATATTATTAAATAAAACCATTTAGTAAATAATGCAAAATAATTACCATCCTTCTCATACGATAAACCTTTGCAAAATTAGCTGGACCCAAATACAATCGAATATCATGCCTGGATGTTTCCATGGGCAATTCATTCAACTGAACCATAGCACATGCACCACCAATTGGCATTGGTCTTGCAAATGGACAATCAGGATCTGTTGGATCAGTTAAATCACGTATGAGCAGATTTGTAATAGGTATATTTGGTAAAAGATTAAGATTCACTGAAGAATTGTTTGGTGAGATCATTGGTATAGATGGTGATATACCTCCTAATGTATTATTTAATAATACATTCTCGTTTAAGCCAGATGAATTCAATCCTGTTCCACTTGATGTTAATAAGTTATATGGTAAACTCAAAGGGATTGTGCCAGAATTCCATAGATTTTGTACATTTGATAGGGCTCCAGTACCGATAGCCGATTTCAAATGTGTAAGAGCTGGGCTTAAATAAGTTTCCTTGTTATTATTACTGTTAGTATTACTATTGTTTACAAAATTGACTAGGTTAGAACAGTTGATTTGTGTTCCTCCATTTATTAATGGTACACCTATAATTCCATTAGATTGGATGTTCGATAAGGCTGAATGTGTTTTTTGTCCAGATGATGAGCACTGAAATAGTGTTACATTATGACAAACCTGGCCGAAAATAAAAATAAAGTAAATAGACCACTGAGAAAAAAGCATAGTAAACTAGTACAAATCTGATTGGTAGCACAATACAACTTCCTCACCAAATTATCTTACTTCCTTCCCTCCTTCCTTCCTTACTTCTGTTACTCCTCGTGGAGGAACATCGGCTTAGTTGATGTGTATGTGTGTGCTTCATACATCATATTTTCTTTCCTTTATAGAGCGATCAGAGGGGTTTTTATTAAGGTTTGTAGCTTGTTAAGTAATCTGAATCACTGTCTAAAAATGCCTACAGAAATTATGTAATCATAATCCGAAAGTTTACTCTAGGGAGAATTGCTCTTTAGAAAGTAAATACTCAAACAATGCTTCACTTTTTCATACAGATGAATTTGTCATATCTGAAATGCCAATATCAAGCGATATCACCATAACTATTCATGTAAATTATTTCAACAGTAGGTTAAACCATTAAACCCACTTCCACATAGTGTTTGTTTTAAGCTGATCAATATATGAGGTAGGACTTACATACCCTATATCTCATTTCTTCTTACCATTCTCATTCATACTTTTAACTTTATTTTATAATCCTTAACATAGACAATTATATGATTACCTGGTGGTATGATAGATGCTAACACACCATCAGTTATATTGATCTAGGAAATGGAGCTTACATAAAATCTTTCCTTTATATATTACACTATTGAGTTAAGTGCTTCTATGAATCCGGTGATTATCTTGCTGTGATAATGAGGTGTGGCAACTTGGACTGATGCATGTATGTGCCTGATCCTACGTTGTAACTGATTGATCTTTCAAACTCCAGTCAAGTAACTAGATCAGTTTCATTAAACTATATCAATGATCTAAAACCATTTTCTGACATGAGAATAGTTTATCCAATAATCAGGTAAGTCTGTATTAGTTTGTTATAAAGATATTTGATACTGAAGTATTGTCTATGATATTTTTCTCTCTTTAATTAAAGAATAGATATACAACTGTAGTGTTTATATGAACTAACGATTCTTTTGTACTTGGCGAATGCTCGATTTTGAATTCTAAGTTATTTATTTATTTATTTGAATACATAAATATTGGCACAATGGGGCACCAAACACATATGCACCATATAAGTCACCTGATTTTTGTGTATGATATTGCCCGGGTACCCAAACCGAAGTAGGCGGTTTCCTTAAGTGACCATATCCGGAACCTTCAACCTGAAAGTCTAATCTACAAGGAAGTGGAGCAATTTATGGGAATGCAATCCCATAGTAACCGATGACTAATAATTCGTTCATACTCCATTTGCTTTCTTAGGATCTTGGAGCTCGTGTGCACTATTGGTTTGGAATGAGGGTTTTCCAACTCCCCCAAGTGGATCTTCCATATCCACCAATCTGGTTAAAGCGCCGGACATTCGCTTTTCATCCCCTCAATTTCATAAACAACAGTGATGTAATGAGTGGGACTTCGCTGGTAGTGGCTGTATTTCAATATAGAGAGCTGATTCTCCTCATTCTCAGCCATTTGTACTCTCATAGTTCTTTTTGGCTTGAATCCTATTATTTTAGGAATTCCTAGTTCGTACAATCATTCAAATACTTTAAACTATCACAACAATTGATAGAGAAAAAATTTGGTTCGACAAATGTTTGTTTGTAAGAAGACTCAATAATAATGATAGTTCTTTGACAGTTATTCAAAGATATAGATTACAATACACATGTAATAGAATACTTAGTAACTATTATAGAAAAAAAATACATATATAACCATAACAACTACCTGAACCATTTCAGATGGTGATGCTTTAAATAATTCAACATATCTATCACCTAAATAATCTTTATGACGTGTTAATGCTTTAGTTGCTATGGTATCATTAGAAAATAGAATAAATGCATCACCAGTTGGTCGTTGATCTGGATAAGTCACTAAATAAATTCCTTGTTCATTTAACATAATTGGTGCTTGAACAATATTGAAAAATTCAATCTAAAACCAAAAAAAAAACAAACAGAAAAAACAGAAAAAAAATAGTAAAATAAAATTTACATCCACTTTTAAAGTTTGATATGTAGTCTACTTAGTAACTAATTATGTCACTAACATGATCACAGTAGTACTGACCACCAGATTTAACACCAACCTGAAAAATTATTCAATCATTTTAAATTTTTAAAAAAAAACAATTGGATTAGTTTCATGATCTAAATTATCATCACCAAATCATTATTTTTCAATAGTTTAGATTATGAATGCAATGAAAGTAGACCATCATAGAGAACCTGGAAGCAGTGGATGACTGTTTCGTCTTAGTGTAAAACTCTTTAACAGTACACATTTACAATCCTGCCTTTGTGAGATTCGAATCTGGGACCTATCAGTCATCATACATGAACACTTAACCTTTAGACTATTGAACTAGCATTCATTGATGGTAATAACAAACTTTAACCAATCCACGAAATTGAGCAATATATCCATTATTATATTCAATGAATTACTATCTCACAATAGATCTGGTTGAACTCCACTTGATCATTGTTTCTCATTAGAATTCCAGGAAAATACCTCTTGAAGTCAATCACTATTGAAGAACTTCACAATAGGATGAAACCATCATCTAATGCTTCCACCAGGTTGTTTTTTATGGTGATCTAACTTCAATTAATTCATGATCTTAACTATTATTATCATGTATCTAAAAAAAACCCAGTAGCTTCACAATAGAATCACCGATAACATGACCAATGACATTTAACCATAAATAAATGATGATTATAAATTCTATCCCTATAGAAAACCATAATTCAATCTTGTATATAAACAAAAACAACAACAATAGAAAATTGAAATCTTACTACTAATACTACTGCTAATATTACTGAATGAATGAATGAATGATTTATATCACCATAAGACAACATAAATTATATAAACAAAACTAAACCTAATCCCATTGAGTATTTCGGTTTTTTTTATGAAAAAAACACATTCACGAACAATGTAAACATAAAGAAAATAGGATAGTAAGAGAGGGGTTTTGTGGATATTATAGTAAGTTCAATAGTTGAGATCATGAGTCAATTGAAGTTAGACCACCATGAAAAACTTGGAAGCACTAAACGGCTGTTTCAGCTTAGTATAAGAGTCCTCTTCAGTAGTGCATATCTACAATTTCGCCTCACGAGATTCGAATCTAGGACTTATCAGTACCAGGCGCGATCTCTTAACAACTGGACCACCAAGCTGGCATCCAAAGGTGTTAATGTTTGAATTCAACTAATACACGAAGTTGCGCCACCATCCATCATTGTCTTCAGTGAGTTACTATCTCACAACAGAACCGATTGAATTCCACTGGTCGCGGCTTTTCACTAGAACTTGAGGAAATACCTCTTGAAGCTAGTCACTAGTGAGCATATGCTGATTAGCATCAGAAGAGGTTTTTGTGAATATTACAGCAGTTTCATTAGTGCATTCATGTGTCAATTAATGCTAGACTACCATGGACAACCTGGAAGCACTGGATGGTTGTCTCGTTCTAGTATGGGACTCCTCATCCACGATCTCACCCCGCGAGATTCAAACCCAATAAAACAAATTCATTAATTTGGTTGACATGTGATAACAGTACAAGGTAATTTTATTTATGATATTATAAACCTCATATAACTGTCAAACTAGATATGAATTTAATCTATACTTATAGCAAAGATTAGTTACATAAATGGTAAAACACAATGGCATCTGTTTAAGATTGGTTCTATTAATCTTTTAAATTGTTATCAATAAGTATGAGCTTATAAAACTCATTAACTAATGGGAATAAAGTTGATAGAACTATTTCAAATGATATCAAATAATAAGAAATAAGAACATTGAAACTACTATGTCGCGTGCTACTTATATCGACATGAGTAGTATATAATGAAAATCAGAAATAAAATGTCTGGCAGTAGGAGATCGAGAAGGAAAGGGAACAGAAAACAATTGGTATGGAAATGTAGGAATAATGAAGTTTGAGACGATTGACCGATGTTTACAAAAGGAACAGTTCAGTTCGCGACAATTGACTGACATTTTACAAATTGATTATTCACTGTATGGTCCTCAGATTTTAGTGAGATATTCTGTGTGTTCGAATACATTGAATGCCCCTCCCCATTTGTGTTCTCGTTCACTACACTACCATTTATACTGCAATCTATCGAATCAAGCCAAGGCAGTTTACTGGTATGTTTAATACATATTAGGGTAAATTTTTATGAGCATAGAAACAAATTAAGAATCCACTTTTTCCTTCGTAAATTATAGATTAATCTTAATCACTAAAGATTTTAGACATGTAATCTGTATTTAATACCTTCTATGTAATCTAAGAGCCTAGTTTGTTTGTAACTGATACCTTAAAGTATTAAGATTCTAGTTCATAAGAATGGTTATGTTTAAAAGATAATTTACTAGGTGCTTGTTACCTTCAAGGTTCACTAGACTTCATAATGTAATTAAAGATTCCTGTGATCTTATAAACAAGTTCACTATTATGATTTTATCTATAAAGAAGGTCACTTTTCTCTTACGGAAATATTACTTAACTACGCATGTTACCCTTCGTGGTGGAGCATAGGCCGCTCATTAGAGTTCTACATTCAAACCTATCCTGGTCAATCTTTTCCACTTGTTTCCAGTTGCTATTCATTCTTCTAATATCTGCTTCGAATTCCTGATGTAATGTGCTCTTTGATATTAATCTCTGTTTTTTCTTCGGGATTCCAATTTAGCACTTGCCTCGTGATGTACTTTGATGATTTTCTCAATGTGTGTCTTATCCACTTCCAGCGTCTTTTCCTAATTTCCTGTTCAGCTGGAAGTTGGTTTGTTGTCTCCTATGGTAGGGCGTTGCTGATGGTATCCAACCAAAGGACATTCACTACATTGCGTGGACAATTATTGATAAATACTTGTAATTTCTTGGTGATGGTTGTGGTAGTTCTCAGAGTTTCAGCTCCATACAATATGACTAACCGTATTGATGTTCGTATTGAAGATTGTGAGTTTGATATTGGTTGACGGTTGTTTTGAGTTCCACATATTCTTTAAATGTAGGAATGCTGTCGTTGCTTTGCCAATTCTAGCCTTCATGTTTGCATCAGATCCTCCTTGTTCATCGATGATGCTACTCAGATAAGTGAAGCTCTCCACCTTTTCCACAGTTTCTCCACCAAGTGTGATTGGGTTGGTGTTCTCCGTGTTGTATTTGAGGATGTTGCTTCTTCCCTTGTGTACATTAAGGCCTACTGCTGCAGAGACTGATGCTACACTTTTTATTTTCATCTGCAGTTGTTCGTGTGTACGGGATAGAGGGGCCAGTTCTTCTGCGAAGTCGAAATCTTCTAAGTGATTTCGAGCTATCCATTGTATTCCGTGTTTTTCCTCAGATGTCGAGGTCTTCATAATCCAGTCAACCAACAAAGGAACGAGGAAGGAAGATTTTTAAGCAGTTTTGTCTGACTCCGGTTCTCACTTGCAATGCGTCTATCAACTGTCCTCCATACATCACCTTGCAGTTTATTCCGTCATATGAATTCCGGATGATGTTGACGATTTTCCCAGGTACACCATAGTATCGAAGAGGTTTATATAAAGCCCTCCTATTCACACTGTCAAATGCTTTCTCTCAGTCAAGGAAATTGATGTATAGTGACAAATTCCATTCAACTGATTGCTCAACGATGATCCGTAATGTCGCAATTTGGTCTGTGCACGACCAATCGTTACGGAATCCAGCCCGTTGATCTCGAAGTTGGGCATCTACTGAATCTTTTACCCAGTTCATCAACACTCTGTCAAAAACCTTTCCTAGTACTGACAGCAGTGTAATTCTTCCGTAGTTCTCACATTTGCTCAAATCTCCTTTCTTTAGTATCTTGATGAGATGAACTTCTTACCAGTCTATCGACACTTGGTCTTCCTCTCAAATCTTCCAAAGTAGAACGTAGAACAACTACGTCTGTAGCTCTTCTAGGGTTACTACCGATACCAAGCTCAAGTAAATGAGGAGAGTTGAGCATGTGATCAGCAACCTCATCACATAGAAAACAACTTTACTAAAACAAAACAAAAAACACTAACCAAAATAAACAATTCAACTCATTTACAAAACCATATCACCATAATTTTCTTGATACTGGACTAGATGGCATAATCAACTTCATAATGATTTAATATAAAGAAAACTTAAGCAGCAAATCATTTCATTTCCATCATTATAACAGCTAGACATCGTTCACTGATTGTAAGAAAAGAAAGATTTTATTATAAACCAATGAAACTATAAAGTCATAACCAATTGAACCATTAGAGTATAACTTGATCTTGGAAGCTATTTTAACATAAATCAGCCAGTAACAACGTAGAGCTTCGTACGTACGTACGTTTAACACAAATACACATTGTAAACATATATAATTATAAGTATCTATCTTATTTAAGTCAGATTTGTCGAACAATGAATGACATTCATTAAATGTATTATTCAAAAAGAAGGTGAGATGATAATTCATCGACGACTTTGGAATGACGCCAAAATGACCTTGTGAGTGTCTCCACCTAATACTTAAGACTAAATGAAAGTTATAAATCAGCATGTGAGGAATTAGTTGATGGTTACGGTTAGGTGTATTAGATTTAAAGTTTTCATCACAAAATGGATAAGTGTATTTTTGCGCCAAAAATCCAAGACCTATTATCTAACATCTGATTGGTTTGTTCATAAATTATAGTCTCATCCCAAAAGAATAAAATCGACTATAATGTTAAGATAGATAAATGAAAACAAAACCCTTAAAAATTTAGACATTACACTATGAACTAAGAACTGTCGTCTAAATTTGATTGAATAGTTTCATTACAGTATTTGGGTGTGGAGTTCATGTGAGATATAAAAAAAGAGGAAGGATATTTCCATGAAAACTCTGCCTGGTGCCTCTCTGGGGTTACTGCCGGTCCCAATCCCGGATAAAGGAGGAGGGTTTGCCATGGGGTTAGGGGTTTCATCCCGTAGAAAATGAATTCGCTAAAGAAAACTCTAACCAGAAAAAAATTATATTTCTGTGAAAATGTTTGGATCAGATTGCTAGGTGAAATGTTAGATTTACTTCAAATTCTTTTGTTGAGATTTTACAAATACATTAACATTCTACTGTAAAAAGTCGCAAAAACAAATTGATTATATATGGATTAAACAAAAGCTAAAGGGTCATAGATGTACAGTGCTGAAGAGTTTCACAATAGGACGAAATGGTTGTCCAGTGTTTCCAGGTTTTCTATGATGGTCTAGCTTCAATGAACTCATGATCTCACCTATTGAATAAACTAAGATAATTATCAATTGATGCCGGTTATTACAGATTACATACAATAGTGACTACTAATCATTATTCAGATAAAAAGAATCTAAATATCCTCACTACAAAACGTAATAAAATTATTTATATTACAGTGTTTCTAGTTACTATTTTCATTGTACAAATACTAAAGTAAAATGATTTGTTTTTAATTGAGATCATGAACCGATTGATGTTAGATCAACGTGACCATCCGTGTCAGGTAGAGACAGGAATCCACCTTAGTACAATGAAAGATAGTCACGCAACTTCGCGGATTGGTTGAGATCAGGCATTAACGCCGTTGGATGCCGACTCAGTGGTAGAGAGGTTAGGCGTTTGCGTGCGAGACCGAAGGTCCTGGGTTGAAATCCCACGAGCGGAATCATGGATGAGAATTGCTGAGGAGTCCCACAACAGGACGAAACGGCCGTCCACTGCTTCCTGGTTTTCAACGGTGATCTAAGATCAATCGGTTCATGATCTCAATCGAAAACTTAACAATCTCCACAAACCCTATACTGAAAATGATTTCTGTTACTAGTAAAATGATACTAATTAATGTAGTTATAAAGATCATTGAATTCTAGTTAAATCACGAATTGATCTAATTTAGATAAGCACTATAAAGGTGAAAACCCCAGATGGTTACTCTGTTCGAGTGTGAGACTTATGAGCAGTACACATTTATGACCTCAAAATCTGGAGTCGATACGAGAACCCTCAGTCTAGTGGACATAAATACCCACCAAGACTTTCTAGGTTTTCAATGGTATTTTCTAAAATTTAAGTTAGTTCATAATCTCAATAAAGTTAATAATTTTATGAATCTTTGGCGAGACTATAATTTATGGACAAACCAATCAGGTATAAGGTAACAGGTTTCAAATTTTGGCTGGAAATTCATTCATCCATTTGGCTAAATAGGGTTTCGGCATTATAGCTGATATCAATTCGTGATCAAAACCGTAAATCTAATTCCTAACACTAACCGTCAACTGTTAATGAGAATTCTAACTGCTTTATAACCATAATTTAGTCTTAATCAGTAGGTGTTCACTCTCAAGGTCAGTTTAGCGTCACTCACAGATCGTCCATCAATTATAGTCTTCACCGAATATTTTTATATTTTGTCTTGAAACTATTTTTTGTTGTTAAGGTATCTTAAAAATAGTTCATCTGATCTCCTTAATTATATCTAATGGTTAAGCGCGTGCACGCAAGACTGATAGGTCTTACGTTTGAATCCTACGAGCAGGATCTTGAATTCACACTGCTGAAGTGTTCCACAATGGGACGAATTGGTCATTCAATGCTTCCAGATTTTAAATGGTTGTCTAACACCATACAGTTCATGATCTCAATTAGTTATTCACAATTTTAGGGATTTGTAAAGATTGTAATATTTTCAACAGTTGAATTTACAAGTCAATCTAAACTTGATCACCATTGAATATTCGAAAGCCTTGAATGGATGTTTTATGTAACAGGTATTCATCTCAGACAATAGATATAAAGGATTGTACAAGATCATTGATGAATTGAATTTCGATATTGATCGATAATTCTTTATCAAATTTATTGTTTTAGTTTATCAGTCTAAATCTAAAATGATTATTGATTAATTAATGTAACTTATACAAAGTTTAATGTTTATGTTCAGTTCGTTAATTGATTAAGGCAGAATACAGTATACAACTATGGCACTCGAATGTATAGAACCCTGATAGTTACGAAATCAGAAAAGAAGTGATCTCTGGGTAAGAGTCAAAAATGTACAGAATATCATGAGTATTTATAAATATTAACGTTTGTTGCACAATATTATAATTCAACCCATTCACAAAGAGGCATGTTATGCTACTACTATCTAATAGTAGCAGCCTGTCACATTAATATTTTAGAAATCTTCATCATATTCTGATTGGATGGAAACCCTTCATCTCTTTTAATGCTTCTAGAAGTTCTGTCATGTTTCTTGGAATTCATCTCAACAATTTAATATATATAACATCATTCATTAATTCACTTGGTATTGTTTTACTTGAATCTTCTCATTGATGTTTTTGGACTGGAATTGATCAGTCTCTTATTGGCGTATGTGCATACTGTGCGTATGCCTGGATATTGCCTTAATTTGCAAGCATTATAAACAAAGATGGATAGTGGATAGCAGTGGAATCTAGGACGCGCGTTTTGTCCTGTTTGGGACTCGTCAGTTGAATGTACCTTCATCTCAGAGTTGATGTTCACTCCAAAAAACATCAATGGGAAGATTCAAGTAAAACAATACCAAGTGAATTAAACTTCACCTCATTGCATAAGCAAGTGGCTATCAGGACTCAGTAACTAAGTGAATAACGCGATGGCGTTTGAAGCGAACGGTACTGAGTTCGAGTCCCAGAGTGAACATCAACAAGTCTGAGATGCAGGTACCTCAGGCTAACGAGTCCCGAATAGAACGAAACGCGCGTCATAGAGTCCACTGTTAGCCACTATTCACCTTTGCTTATCATTCATTACCATTTCAATGATCAAAAAACGACTTCAATTTCATTTCCTTTATGTGTTGATCCTGAGTAACATTGTAATCTCTAAAGTATATTTAAACATTAAGGTAGATAATTGTTTAAAACCATTTGTTTATATTAGTCTATTAAAACATAATGTTCAATATGGTCATAGTATAGTGGAAACACACACTATAAAAACATGACAATCCATCAGATTCAATGGATCACCACAACAACAACAAAAACAAAAAAGAAGACAACATGATCACCTTCAAAACAACTAATCCTAAAGTAGACCAATGAAAGAAAAATACCAAAAAATATAAATAAACCATTCACCAAAAGTCAATTGTATAGTATTATTACTATTATCATTAATAATTACATGTATAGAATTGTATTAAATGTGTAATAACACGACGTAATCAATTATGCTGAAAAATAATATAAGAAAAATCTAAATTTAAAGTATTACAATAACTAATAATTATGTAATCAATGAATGAATGAATTAATTAATTTCAATAATTAAGATCATGAGTTAGTTGAAACTAGACCACCGTTGAAAATCTGGAAGCACTGGATGGTCTTTTCGTTCTGTTGTGGGACTCCTCAACAGTGCGCATCCACGGTCGTTCAGTGCTTTCAAGTTTTCTATGGTGGTCTAGCTTCAACGGACTCACGATCTTAACCACTGAAATTATTATTAATATCCGAAAAACCCATCTGACATTAATGACTTAATTAACAATTGATTATAGAATAAGAATGAGTGAGATTAGAATTGATGAACGACCTTGGAGCGATATCACCACAATCACCTTGAGAGTATCGCCCCCGCACCTAATAACGTAGACTAAGGTTACTACAGATTTAAAACTCGAACGGGTATGATAGTATTAAACTCATTTCGTAGAAAAGAACTCTTCTATCACAACACATTAACCAGTAAAGTACAAGAGTACAAGAGCTAATTCAGTATAGAATTCATTTCAATCGTTATTCAAAACTGTATAGCTACAATTTTCTTTCATTAATCAATCTATAGAGAAAAAACCTTGGATAAAACTTTCAGTTGATCAATAGAACTATAGAGATGGTTAGTGTAAAGATCTTTAAGTCAATACATTGGTTCATTCGAAATAAACATTAGTACAGATGACAATTTCAGATAAAATGATACAAATGAATGAAAACTACGTGTCTAACTTAATGGTTATGCTTTTTTAGACATATTTTTGGTATAGTGATCAATTGAATTCAAACCAGATTCCAGCGGAGGAAGAAATTAGGAAGAAGCGCTGGAAGTGGATAGGACACACATTGAGGAAAGCACCCAACTGCGTCACAAGACAAGCCCTCACATGGAATCCTCAAGGCCAAAGGAGAAGAGGAAGATCAAAGAACATATTACGCCGGGAAATGGAGATAGACATGAGAAAAATGAACAAGAATTGAATGGAACTAGAAAAGAAGGCCCAGGACAGAGTGGGTTGGAGAATGCTGGTCGGCGGCCTATGCTCCATTAGGAGTAACAGGTGTAAGTAAGTAAGTAAGATCAATTGAATTAAACTGTCAAGTGAATAATCACCAACTACATGAAAGAAATCATCAAACTGCCTAATGAGACAAACCTTAACATGGAATCTTCAAGGGAAACAGAAATGAGGATGACTAAAGAACACATTACTTTGGGAAATAAAAACAGATCAGAAGAGGATGAATAACAACTGAAAACAATTGAAAAGGATTGCCTAGAACAGGGTTGATTACAGAGTGCTGGTGGGCGGCCGCCGCCTATGCTCCTTTACGAGAAGTGATAAGTGTAAGTAAGTAAGTAAGTAAATGCAATTTACATCGATTCCTATGAACCAGACATCTTAAAACGATCATTTACACAATCTTTTTCTTTTCCTATTTTCTTCTTTATTTAGATTAATGAATAGAATTGTTTTATAAAAAAACTTACAATTTGTTTTTTACATGTTGTATAGGGTAGACCACGTACACGTACTACAACTTGTTCACCATTTGTTAATTGATTTAAAAACTTTATAACAGATTCTTGATCACCTATATAATACAATATAATAATGATATATAATTCAATATAAAGTAATATTACTGTTAATAATTATAGTAGTATTTATCAAATAGAATAAATATTACTTACTTACTTTACTTACCTACTTACTAACTCACTCACTTACTTACCTACATACTAACTGACTGACTTACTTGCTTACCTACTTACTCACTTACTGACTTGCTTACTTACTTATTGACTGACTTACTCAGTCATTCACTCACTTACTTACTTACTTAATTACTTTCCATGTACCTATAAAATTGTTGCTCTGGATGTTAGAAAAGAGCATCGGCCACATGATTTCCAAAGAATCTTGGCTTTCATCTTAAGGCGTCATAATTCTTCATTGAACTATGAAGGGCAAATCACTTGGTATTGTTTTACTTGAATCTTCCCATTGATGTTTTAGGACTGAAATTGATCAATCCCCCATTGCACAAGCAAGTGACTACCAGGACTTAGTAGCTAAGTGGATAACGCAATGGCGTTTGAAGCGAACGGTACTGAGTTCGAGTCCCAGGGTGAACATCAACTCTGAGATGCAGGTACATCCAGCTGACGAATCCTAAATAGAATAAAACACGCGTCACACTGGATTCCACTGCTAGCCACTATCCATCTTTGCTTTAAAGGGCTAAGTTTAAATGATTAAATTTGTTTAATCTAGTTGGCGTTGTGTTTTTTTAGCAAGAGTTTTTTAAGGAATTGGGTTGTTGACCTTATGCTCAACCCTCCTCCTTTACCTGGGATTGGGACCGGTAGTAACTCTAGAAGAGCTTCAAGCGAAATAAATATTACGAAACATATTTTCATTAGATTATACTTCATAAAATTCCTCATCTATATTAGATTTGTTTAACTGATTATGTACATTATATTTAAGTAGTAAATACAATGGTAAATAATTTTTGGTAAGCTAAAGTAGATCAATGCACTTGAACTTATGTTGAACGTATGATATTGATATAAGCCAGATTTAGACGTCGATGAAATCAAAGGGATTTGAATCGATTGTGGTATGTGCTACTTATATCGACATTAGTAGTATATAATCAATAATCAGAAATAGAAGCTCAAGAAGATCGAGGAAGGAAGAACGGAAACAGAAAGCAATTGTTATGAAAATGCAGGAATAATAAAGTCTGAAATGATTGATTGACATTTTGCAAATGAAGTATTTACTGTATAGTTCTGAGATTTTACTAAGACATTCTATAATTTTGTGTTCGAATACATTCGATTGTCCCCATTTGTGTTCGCGTTCACTACATCATGACAAATAGCTTTCTTAGCTCAGTAAGTTGATTAATGACTGACTATATTCAGATCTCTTTCAAGTACTTCAATTGTTTTAAAGTACTGATTAGTCTATTTATGAAGAGAATTTATCTGAAACATTATAACAACCACTGTATTTGATAATCTTTTTGAAAGGATAAAATCAATCTGAGATAACAGTATTCTCTATTCTTCTAAGTTTATTAATAACGACTTTTCTTAATTAGTGGACAGTGGCTCAATTTTGTGAATTGGTTGAATACCGTTGAATACCAAATCAGTGGTCTAGGAGTTAAGCGTTCACGCGGAGACTGAAGGCCTTGGATTTGAATCTCGCCCATTGAATTAAAGAAGTCAAGTGTATTGTTCTGTATCCCTTGAACGGTAAATATGAATCTACCGAACAAAGATAGTCATTGATGAACTTCAATCGTGATAAGAATTCATATTGAGACTATAATTTATGGACAACCTTTGAGCGATGCTAAAGTGACTTTGAGAGTGTCTACCCACTTAATAGTTTGAAGAATAAAGACAATGATTTACATTTGATGGTTAGGAATTAGATTTAAGGTTTTCATCATGAATTGACATCAGCTATAATGCCAAAACTCTATTTAGCCAAATGTGTGAATGAATTTCGCGCCGAAATCTAATGACCTGTTATCACAGATCTGATTGGTTTGTTCATAAATTATAGTCTTGCCACCCGATTCATTTAATTTGCTGGTATTGAATAGGCCATAAATTGTATTTAAAATATTGGTTGCTATCACACTGCATAGATTATGGTGAGTTTATGAAGAATCAGCTCAAAATGGACAGAGTTGGATTTTCTTTAGATTTCATTTTAATGATTATGTCTTTAGTTCACCATAGATACATGAACATTAATCAAATGACCGTTGTGCGTTCTCTTGATGATATGTTGGTAGATAAATTGCTCTCTGGTTGTACTTTGTAAAGCTATTTTTACTGGTATTCGAAAAACAGCTACAATGAAGGTATGAGATAGTAATTAGAGTGTAGATTCATTACTAAAGGAGAAAATTTTGATCATTAGAATATTCAAAATATCCTCCTACTATATACATTAACATCAATCTCACCAACTTTATCACGTTTTAAGTATGCCTTCAAGAAGGATGCCACATCAAGCTTCGTTTAATGAAGCAGTATTATAGTATGAAAAACAAGAATGTGAAGTTAGTATAGTTTAAAGAATTCACAGAATATTCATTCAGAAGAGATAACAAAACGACTTCAAGAATTATAAATTATTACATATAATCGAAATCCTTATCTCATTAGTAATAACGTTTTATATAGTTTAATAGAGATGATACTTTTTATACAAATTTTCTAATATCCTCATCATTTGTTTATTTGTGTTGTGTAAGGGCGGTCCACGAGTGAACTCGATGAAGCTTTAAGAAGCTCAGAAAAACCTGAAGATATTCCATCCAATCAACTTTCTTGGAAGAATATTCCAGAATCACCATGTGTAGCTTCCCTATTAGATAAATGCTAAGAACCCCCTGTATGCGGATTGAATAACTATAATGATGATTTCATTTTCACTAAAAAAACTATAAATACCTGACAGTTTTGTACTATAATTGATACTGTTTGGAATAACATTCCTTTCACTTGTCTTCTCTCTTCACATTTGCGACTTAGGAGGGTCCTAGCGTCCAAGTGCTCGAGTTATACGTGGTATATTAAACATCTAAACTCTTGATATAACATGTTGTTATTATGTAATTAGTATTACAAAACTTAATATACACGTGTATTTAGTTCGTGTTCACTAATCATGATAATATAGTTACAATGGTTTGGCCTTATTTTATATTCAATCAACCTTGAACTAATTAAATAGATAACTATTAACTAAGAATAACTCGGTTAATCTTGTAAATAAAACATTGATTATTAAAAGATAGTTTATGTGATAGACAGATCTCAATTAAATAATCACTATAATTCATTAAACATGATAACAATTAGTACGTTATGGTTACTAACGCAACTGTTTACAACAACCATCCTATCAGTAATCCAATACAACATCTTCAAAATACACAATCACCTCTCAACACCTTATTCAATACTCAATCGTCCATAATCCCTACTTCAATCAACATACTCATTAACATGTCAAACAACAGTCAAACTTGGAAAATTAATCATCATTTTCACTTACATCCAGCACACTGAACAAATTCCTTCCCTGAAGCTGGATGGATTTGCAAGTACATCGGTTTCATTGAACCACTTATAATCTGTTGAATACCATCAGTCGAACATTCACTTCGACTATTAACACAGCTTTGATTGGTGGGATTACTGCTGTCTATAACATGATTGTTTGATGAGGATGACGACATAATATGCACATCCGATGTATTATTTGCAATCTCTGTCATCAACGAACTACACAAATGATGTTGATTTCTTGCTAATGCAAGTTGAGCATTCTTCGAATCATTGAAAGCAACAATAGCAGTATTACTGCGTCGTCCATCTGTCAATCGAATGGCTACTCCACCAGGAAGAACATTCAGACCGGTGAAATAATGAGCGATTGTAGCTGGTGTGGCAGTCCATGGAACTTGACGTATTTCAACAACTTGACTGTCCATTATTTTCAATTTACGTGAACTAATAGAATGAAATAAATAGATAGTTGACATCTATAAAATGATAATTAGTTTATATAGCACACATTTGTGTTCTTGTCTACAAAAAAAGATCGTTATGCATAAAACTGGAAGCATTGAACGGTCGTTTCGTCTTATTGTGGGACAACTGTGACTCGATTTCGTGGATTGGTTGAGGCTAGACATTAACACCATTGGATGACAGCCAAGTCAGTGGTCTAGAGTCTAAGCGTTCGCTCGCGAGACTGAAGGCCTTGGGTTCGAATCCCACGAGTGGGGTCGTGGTTTCGCATTGCTGAGGAGTCCCATGTTAGGACGAAATGTCTGTCCAGTGCTTCCAGATCTTCAATGGTGGTCTAACATCAATCGGTTCATGATCTCAATCAAAAACTTAACAATCTCCACAACCCCTAAACTGACAATTACCATGTGTTCGCTAGTGACTATTTTCGTGAGGGAATTCTCGGAGTTCTAGTGGAGGTAATCTGTATCGGGTAGAGACAGATATCTACCTCACCAATGGATGACGACTCAGTGGTCTAGAGGTCAGGCGTTCGCACTTTAGATCTGTTATATTTCATCGGGATCACGAACTAGTCTAAGTTAGATAACCATTGGATTAGTCAGCGGTGCTCGATCACGATCCCATGAACAATCAGCAAAACTTGCTAAAGCAATGCCGAACCATCCACAATATCAATGGAGAACCTCCAGTCTCATATGAGACCTTCAGCTCTACATAACCATATAGCTTAGTGAACAAAGATGTTATGTCTAATGATAACATGATTTTGTCATTCATATTCATATCTTTTTATTGTATTTACAAATTCAAATACACCTTTTAACGCTATGCTTAATCAATTCTTGATGTAATGCTTCTAACAATTTCATCAACCATTTTACTGTAAAATGAAATGATGAATTTGACATGTCCAGAATTGAGAGTAAACGAACCCCTATTGGTTAATGAATCTTATGTAAACCATAAAGTAATCTTATCTTAATTTACTACTGAATAGATGAAATGAATTTAGTCACATATAAAAGACGAATAACTTACAATGTTTTATGTTCATAATTATAACGTACATACTCAGGATCTTTCACTTGACAACCTAGAAAGTATTAAGATTCTGGATTAAATAATCATAGTTATTAATAATAATTATTGAATCAATATATAAATCAGTAGTATCAGTCAGTCAGTCAGCTACAACGTTGGAATAGGCACATGTGGTTTACTTGAAACTTCTCATTGTTCTTTAGGACTACAATTGATCAGTCTCTTGTTGGTATATGTGTATACTGTGGGTATGGCCTCGATATTTCCTTCAGTCACAAGTTTTTTAAGCAAAGATGGATGGTGTTGGCTAGCAATAGAATCGAGTTTGACGCGCGGTTCATCCTATTTGGGACTCATCAGCTAGATGTAACTGCATCTTCGAGTTTATGTTGGAATCATAGAGTGAACATCAACTCTGAGATGCATTTACATCCAGCTGACGAATCCTAAATAGAACGAAATGCACATTCTCGATCTCATTGTTAACAACTATCCATCTTTGTTGCTAAGTAGATCAAGATTATAATTTCAATACAAATCAATCATTTATATACGCTTGTTCAATCATAAGTAGATCCCCTGAAAAATACATTTGGTTAGACAAGGATATAATAGATCTTCAATGATAATTGATTAGAAGAAAGATGAATATGCATTGAGCATATTGACTATAAACTATCATCATTTGAATCATTAGATCAATTTTTTTTTAAAAGTAGAAAGTTTTCGTCTATCGTTGAAATACTATTTATGTTCGACTATAGTGTTGGTTGCTATGCCAAACGCATAGAGTTTATTCTAGTTTCTGGACAAACCAATTTATTTATTCATTTCAAGTTGTATTTTGACCTTGTTAATTATTTTACTTACCAACCTTAACTGTTCTTTTCATGTAAATGTATATATGTCTGTCTGTGTGTGTGTGTGTGCATTTTGTATCTTACTCATCACATGTTTGTAACTTATTTCTGCTCGGTTATAAATATCGATTAATGCTTAGTTATAAATCGAGTTGATTTACATGCCTTCTCCACTGCGGATTATTTCACTTCACTCTTTTCTCTTCGCTTTTTTTCACCATGTTTCTTTGATCATTCGTCTGGATCAACGATTGAATGAAATACACATATTTGAAATCTATTCTTATATTTGACTTATTTCATTCCGGTATTCACTAATTCAATTTAAATCGTAGCTTATATACAACGGTTTCAATACAAATGTTAAGACAGTCCTACTGTACGGAGCGGAAATTTGGTGACCTACGAAAGCCATCATCCAGAAAATACAGGTGTTTATTAACAGTTGTCTACGCAAAATACTTCGAATCCGTTGACCGGACAAGATTAGCAACAACCCACTATGGGAGAGAACATACCAGATCCCAGCGGAGTAAGAAATTAGGAAGAAGCGCTGGAAGTGGATAGGATACACATTGAGGTAAGCACCCAACTGCGTCACAAGACAAGCCCTCACATGGAATCCCCAAGGCCAAAGGAGGCTAGGAAGACCAAAGAACACATTACGCCGGGAAATGAAGATAGACATGAGAAGAATAAACAAGAATTGGATGGAACTAGAAAAGAAGGCCCAGGATAGAGTGAATGAGTTGGAGAATGCTGGTCTGCGGCCTATGCTCCATTAGGAGTAACAGGCGTAAGTAAGTAAGTAAGTTATATACAACGGTAGCTAGGATGTATATTTCTATAATTCAATAACAATCATTCGTACAATTCAACTGGAGTCAGATATTACAGGGTCACGAATAGGCATAAAATCTTATATTGAAGAAAATCAAGAAAAGTACCATGCACTACATCATTTTACACACTTTTTGTACTCGTAATATACATTTGTTATTACTATTATTACCATTAATATCATTTTAATGATAACTGGTTTCATAATGGTTAACCCCATACATTTTAACTACCTATTCGTCATTACATATGATGAAGTGAACATTTGATTTATAATGTATGAATAACTCAAAATTGTTGTAGTGTATATGCTACTTATGTCGGCAGACATATGATGTAATCAATGTATGATTCTTATATTTTATCAAGAGATTCTGTTATTTTGTATGAAACAATAAATTAGTTGTCCTCATCTGTGTGCTCGTTCGTTATATTTTATAACGTTACCAAAGGGAAGCCGAGAAGAGTGTAGTTCTTCGGATGCTGTTGGCGGCCTAAGACAGAAGGCACTAGTTGGGGTTGTCAGTTTCGGGGGAGTGACGTCGGATAGAGTGTTCTGGAGGAACGGCGTTGGCTGTCACGATTTCTGTCAACAGAGAAGAGCAGTAAAACATGTGGCTGTTGGGCGAACATCAGGTCTAGATGGCCCAGCTAGTCGACATTGCTAAAGAATTTAGCGCGTCGACGGACTACACATTTTGACGGAGAACGTAGCACAGACTTTGGCAAAAGAGAAAATGGCACAGCGAGTAGAACTATCACAAGAAAAAACTATTTAAAGGACAAATAAGTGTGATGTTTGCTACTTAAGCCAACAGACATATAAAGTATTCAATGTATGATTCTTATATTTTACAGAGAGATTCTGTTATTTATGATTTATGATTCTAACATCAATTATTAAAAATACTTCGAAAATAGATAAGTGAAATACAACTAACCTTTCTTAGTTAATTCAATTACTATATTTGCCATTATTTCAGCTTTAATAGAGGCTAACTCAGTCTCTTCTAAATCAATTTCCAATGCTGTAAACAAATAATAAAAAAGAATGCATTTTTGGGGTGGGTGAGAAGAGGGGTATTCATCTACAGTTATACAATGATTTCCTTTAATAAATCCCCTTTAAAGTATTCATACCAGTAAAATACAGAAAAGAAACTCCGTTAATCATTAATGATCGGTCACAATCTGAGTTTTCAAGAGAAACTATCATGATATATGTAAGATGAAATTATCATAATTCCTACTTTTTGAACTTTCTGTGGTAAGACTATAATTGATGGATGAACCAATCAGATTTACGAGAATAGGTCTTGGATTTTGGCGCGACATTCATTCAACCATTTGGCTTAATTGCGTTTTGTTATTTTGGTTGATATCAGTTCGTGGTAAAAACCATCAACTAAAAATCATAATCTTAATTCTTTACACTAGTTTATAACTGGTATTTAGCTCTAGTAACAACGTGGACATTCTAAAAGTCACTTAAGCGTAGCTCATAGGTCTATCCAGTAAACTATAGTCTCACCGTTTTTGTGCAATATTTAGTTTTATCTTCCCATTGTTATTTAGGACTGCATTTGAGCAGTCTCTTGCTAGCATGTGTGCATCCTATTCGGATTGCCTCGATATAGCCTTAAGTCACAAGCTTTATAAGTAAAGGTGGATGGTGGTGGCTAGCAATCGAATCCAGTTTGACACGCATTTCATCTTATTTGCGACTCGTCAGCTAGATATACCTGCATCTCAGTGTTGTTCACTCTAGAACTCCAACTCAGTATCGTTCGCTTCGAACATCATCGGATTACCTACTTAGTTACTGAGTCAGGATAGTCACCTACTCGCGCAAACAGCTTGATAACCGAGGCCAACTCAATGGTAAATGCTCTAAAAATGTGTTTTAACAGACTAGGTCGAAACACATTGGACAGTACTCGCTCTATCGATTTGAATCCACCTCAAATAAGCTCAGTAATAGTTGACTTACATGGATCAGATCAAAGGAAAAAAGACCGATTTCAAAGAGATCTGTCCTAAATAAAAACTCAAGAAAGGAAGTTTCCTTTGTTTACAATATTTATTTAGTTATTAAGCTTTTCATTTACTAAAATTACTAAAACCAATGAAATAAACTTCAGTTATGCTATTGCAAAGATAAGCTTTTCAAAACTAGACATTCTCTATATCTGTTATGAATGTATGATGAATGGAAATTATGGAGTTCATTTTGTAAAAATAGGTTCGTTGGTCGTTCTTTGACATGATTGATCCATAAAAAATCATCTGGGAACATGGGTCAATGAGGAATAAAGTAAAACAATGTATGAAACTATCTATCATACAGATTCCAGTTAACCATGACCATTTTATATCTAGATCTCTCCGCAAATGCTTATCTTGTAGACCACTAAGCAGAACTTCAATGGTATATACGTCCAACTTTAATCACTTATATTGTGCGACCATCTCCGATTGTCTCCAGCTGGTACCTTCCTCATACCTGACATGGTTGAACTTCACTCGCCACAGCTTCTCACTAAAACAATAGAAATTTCCTCACAAAACCAGTAGCTAGTGAGCACATGATAACTATCTATGTTGATCGTTGAATCTTGTTAAGATCATGAACCAACTGAAATTAGGCATTCATTGAAAATCAGTAAGTACTGAACAGCTGAGGAATCTCTTACTATAACACAATTAATATCGGTTCGTAATCGCAATAACAGTCTACAATCTACACAATCCTCATACTGGTACTGATTGACACAAACCGAATTCTACAATTCCCATTGATAATACTCAAACATACGACTAATATATAAACTTGTTCATCACATTCATTATTCTCAGTTAAGGCAAGAATAGAATTTGTACGTGAATGATCGGCGAGACTCTAATTTATGGACGACCTTTGAACGAATCCTAAATGACCTTGAGAAATATTAAACAATCAGCAAACAGTCAGTATAAAGTAAAAACATATTATACAAAACCAAGGAAATAAAGTGGATACACTTCTTAGACGTAGTTCAAAAACTTGTCAGGGTTAGAAAGAGGTTCAGAGGTTCTAAAATCTTAATACATGCAGTAGAGGAAATCATCCATATGGCTACAGAATAGTCGGCATCTGGAGCCATGATAAACTCTCAAAAACTCTTTCAGCCTCGACCACATAGTTCCAATATTGTTTATGTGTACTCCGGTTGTTGAGTGCACAAAATGCCACTTGTGGATAACGACACGGTGCACATGACCAAGCCTATGTAGGAGTCTGTACGCTCTCCAAATATCCGTATATATTGTAGTACCTAGCTGCAGCCAGTGTTACTGGTGCTTTTATTATCCAGTTCTCAATAGTTGTCATAATTTGCCTTAGTTAGAAATTATATATGGGGTTTTCATCACGAACTGACATCAGTTATAATGCCAGAAATTTATTTAACCATAAGGATGAAAGGCTTTCGCGTTAAAATGCGAGATCTATTATCTTATGCCTGATTGATTCGTCCATAAATTATAGTCTTGCCGTTTTATTTGTTATAGCCACTCAATTATCACATTTTGTGCAAAATTCCTTGTGAACCGATCGTACGTTAGTTAGCATTAAGCACCGAAGTTTGGCGCCGTAACCTTGAAATCTCTAAAACGTCTTTGATTGGCTCGTCCATAAATTAGAGTCTAGCCGAATGATCTTTTTAATATTCATATCCATGATTACTGTTCGAGAGCTTTCAAAAAGACAGTTGCCAAAAATAACTTTAGAGATGACATAATATATATATCTTCAGTTTAATTCAACAATTTATCATTCTAACTTCTAATATGATCGTAGCAACAGATCATAATGTTAAGCTTAATAAGTGTGTATGCTATTCAACACTTCATTTCTCATGAAATCAATCAATACAAGTAGGCTTAATTGCTTAGTTTTATTCAAATTTATATTATATAATCTTCATGATAGTTCAGGATGAAATTAAGTTTGATTATGCATAAGTCATATCATATTACACATCGAAGAAATGTATCCGAATGATGATATGAATGAACTGTAAATTATTTATAAGGTAATCTCATTCCTTGATACTTTAGTAAGGTATAATATTTCTCATGTTTCATATTATTATTAGTTTATGTGTCTTTATAGATTTCTACTTATTCAATCTTCCCCCTTCATTCATTGTATACAATGTAGTTTAACTTCAAATAAACTTAGAACTCATGAAGATTGATTAATTCTTTGATTCTTTATTGAAATCTTTCATCATGTTAGATGCTTTAAGTCATGAGTTTGAATTCTGAAGTTAAACTAGTCACAGTTACTGACTGGAATCAAGTTCTCAGCTACTAATATTATTCAGCTTACCTATTAAGTTGTAATGTTATAACATGTGATCCCTTTAAAATACTACTAAACATTAGCATGCAATCATAACTAATAATTCAAATGTGTATGAAATGTCTATTAAGTAATCTATTTCACAGATCTAGGACTAGTTCGTAAAACGATAACATAAAGAAGAGTGAAAGCTAAATTTATCAACTAGATAAATCGAACAAAATGTTATGATTATTGTTAAAGGTATATTGAAGTTTAAAAACTCATCAATTGAATTCTCAAGTGAATGATTATGATAGTGAATGGAGGTAGTCAATAGGAAACTCTGGACTTAGGTTTTGTGCTACTTAGTACTCATCAGCAAGGCATACCTATAATCTTGAGGGAACTGATACTTCCTGACAGATGACATCTCAGGTCACTCAGGCTTCATAATCAGAGACGTTAGCATTGAGCTATTCATACCCAACCTAGGTCTAGGATTGAATCACCTAGACTGATGACCACATTGAAACTTAGTCGATAGGATTCGATCTACACTAAGAACGATCAGATATACATGACATTGATCATCACCCAATGATCAATCAATTGTTAATTAATGATAAAAGCAGATCATACTGACTAAACTAGATCAACAATTTTACCATGGTTGACAACTCTCTAAAAATCTAAGACTTCCACTTAACAGCTAATCATTCCACTTTTTTTTCAAATTCTCAATGTTTTAGTTAGTGCCAGTTTTAGACAAAAACGGTGAATAGATAATTTACTATAAATGGTATTGTAACCAACGTAGTAACTAAAAATACGAGAGATCAACTTATCAATTAAGATTTATTAGAATTTAATCAAATATACTTGATTGAATTATTCAAAAGAATTTACATGAAATCTTGATCCTTAACTGAGTTCCATAATTCATGAGTCAATTGAAGGTAGAACATCATGGAAAACTTGAATGCACTAAATGGACGTTTCGTCCTAGTATGGAGACTCCTCAGTAGTGACATATTGACATAAATATTTACATTTTTAAAATATAATTAACCAAATATCTTTATTAGAAATAATTCATTATATCTAATTACTGTATTCAATATGAATTTGGAATACATTAGTTTTCAGAAAAAGGTGTATATACAATATGCCATAGAATCATTGCAGTTTTCAATCAAATTGTAAAACATTACTGAATACCATACAATATGCAATATTGTTGTAGTGAATATATTTCAACACATAGTTACAGAACATTTCATGAAAATACAATAAATCACTTAAATTGTATTCTCTCATATTTGATTGTTCCATTTATAAATATCAATCCATCAACTTAGATTTCATTAATCCTACATTTTCATATCAATTGCTTTGTGTTCCCGATTCTTTCCTTCTCGATTTTCTATTTGAAATACATTCTATACGTGACCATTGTTACTAGGGTTACATTTAGTAACTGAGGCTTATTGTTAAATTCAATTAACTATTTATAAAAATGTATTTATCTATAATCAGATAAATAAATCATACACCACCACCACCACCACCACCCTACTCTATCTCCCTATTATTCAATCACAACCAAATCGTCAATCAATTCATGCATAACGTACTATTTCTATGTTTATGATAAAAAAAATGTAATAAAATGAATAAACAAAAAAAAGTTTGTTTAGTGTT